AGTGTTTATTCATGTCTTTTGCCCGCTTTTTAATAGGACTGTTTGTTTTTTTCATTTTGGCACGTTTGAGCTGGTTGTAGATCCTGGATGTTAGGTCTTTGTCAGATATACAGTTGGCAACTGTATGTGGCCTGTCTTTTTTCCAGTATGTGGCCTGTCTCCTGCTCTCTTGATGGTTTCTTTTGCTTTGCAGAAGTTTTTCAGTTTGATGAGGTCCCACTTGTCTATCTTATCTCTTATGGCATGGGCACTTTGGTTTTTGATCAGGAATTGGTTGCCAGTTTCAATTTCCTTAAGGGTGTTTCCTGCATTTTCTAAGGTTCTTATAATTTGAGGTTTTACATAAGGTTCTTATAGTTTGATTTTTGTGTATGGGGATAGGTAGGGGTCCTGTTTCACTCTTCTGCATGTGGTCAGCCAGTTTTCCCAGCACCTTTTACTGAATAGGTTCTCCTTTCCCCAGTGGTTGTTGGTGGAGGCTTTGTTGAAGATGAGCTGGTTGAGAAATTGAGGTTTTGCTTCTGGAATCTCTATCCTGTTCCATTGGTCCATATGCCTATTCTTGTACCAATACCAAGCTGTTTTGATTTTTGTAGCCTTACAGCAAAGTTTATAGCCTGGAAGTGTGAAACCTCCTGCTTTATTTCCTTTGCTGAGGATCGTTTTAGCTATTCGTGGTTGTTTATGTTTTCATATGCATTTCTGTATTGTCATTTCCAGGTCTGAGAAGAATGATGTTGGTAATTTAATGGGTATTGGGTTGAATCTGTAGATTGCCTTGGGTGGGATGGATAGCTTAACAATGCTGATTCTTCCTATCCATGAGTATGGAATATTTTTTCGTTTGTGTCTTCTTGGATTTCTTTGAGCAGTGTTTTGTGGTTTTCTTTGTAAAGGTCTTTGACTTCTCTGTTTAGGAAGATGCTGAGATATTTCTTTTTTTTTTTTTTTTGGTGGCTATTGTGAATGGGATTGTGCTTTTTATTTGGTTCTCTGCCTGCTTGTTTATACCACAGCCTCCACCTGCTGCACTCAGGTGATTCTTCCTCTTCAGCCTTCCGAGTAGCTGGAACCATAGCCACGCACCACCGTGCCTGGCTAATATTTTGATTTATTATATAGATGAGGTCTTGCTAAGTTGCCCAGGCTGGTCTCAAACCCCTGGGTGCAGGCGGTCCTCTCACCTCTACTTCCCTAAAGAGCTGGGATTACAGGTGTGAGCCACCCCGCCCAGCCCACTTTGCCCTTTTTAAGAATGTGCATATGCTTTGACCCAGGAATTCCACTTCTTATCATCTATTCTAGAGAAATTCTCATACACGTGTACAATTAGACCTGTATAAGGATATTCATATGACATTGCTTGTAAAGGAAAAACTTGGAAACAAATTGAAGTAGGAGAAGTGGTAAATCCACATCCTTTCAAAAGTGTCTTTCAGACTGTGGCCCATTGGTAGCTCATAAGGTTCAATTTAGTAGGCTGCAGCCAGGATTTTGAAAAGTAGAATGGAATAGCAAACATTTCAAAGATTAAGGGTGATATATTCCTTCTGTGGATCATAGTCAATAATGTCTGAACAACACTACTATAAGATGCTTTGTAGGAGTTAAAAACGTTGAGACAATCTGTTTGTACTGTCATGAAAACATCTTTAGGACATACTAAGTAGAAGAAAGATATTGCAGAACAATACGTACAGTTTGATGGCATTTGTATTATTTTTAAGCCACAAAATTAAAACTGTGTCTCTATGTCAATACATAGAAAAAGGTCTGGAGGGCTGCAGGTGTTTTTGACAACAGTGATTAAGAATGGGAATGAGGCGTAGTCAAGGAGAACTTTAGGCTTGTCTGTATTTTTTGTATTTATGTATTTCTCCTCTAATTACTAATAAATGACAGAATGAAAAAAAATTGCTGAAAGGCAAAAGTGTGCTTGCTGGTGTGATTGTTTTCTCAATGTGATGTCTTGTTCTGTCCACAACTCTCATGACATTTTGTTAATGAAACGCTTAGAACTTGTTGGGTCTTGTGATGTGAATGGACAATTGTTGCTGTTATGTATAGGCAGAGAAAGAGATTGCTCATTTTGGATGGAGATAAGGTGGTGTAGCTCAGGTGGATGTCCATTCATTCATTCATTCATTCATTCAACAAATAGTCAACAAACAGCAACTGCGATGGCTACATCCTGTGCTGAGTGCTGGAAACCCTCTGCCTTGGTGGTCCATTTGGTCCTCACCCCACCACCCCCTTTATGAAGGCATTAGGGGTACCAGGGTGGTGTAGAGGGCAGAGCGTGGGATTTGAAGTCAGGCCAGCTTGGGCTTTTAGCTTATTCATTTTTCTGGGCCTCTGTTTCCTCATTTTAAAACATTGGCAGTGTTTAAAAAGTAACACCTACTACAAAAGGGCCGTGGTGAGGATTAAATGGGAGGCTGCCTGACCTGAGCATGGTGCCCATGCAGCATGGGTGCCCATGAGGGAAATTTTCTTATGATTATGCTTTAATTTGCATGTGAAGAAACTGGCATTCCACTATGTGTCACATTCATATAGGAGCTTTGGGAGGTCCACGCACAGGTAATGAGTGGCAAGGGCACTGGGAACTTGGATTTTGGTCTCGGTTTTGCTACTAACCCTTTGTGATTTTGAGCAAATAAGTTCCTACCCCTTTCTGGGTCTCAGTCTTTCCATCTATACAATGATAAAATCATATCTGAGCCCTCTCTTGATTACATTGGTTTTGTTTCTAGTGGGACTTCATGAGGACAAATCAGAATGGGAAGAGAGCTCTACCTGGGGGTGAGTCTGGTTGGAACTGACTGGGGGTTGCAAATGACAGACATTCATAGCATTTTAAAAATGGGTTGGTAAAGCCCAACTGGACATAGCGGTTTCATCTAGGAGTTGGGTTGTCAAATGTCATTTTAAAAACTTCAGTGTTTGCCTGTTGGAAGCTTGTCTAAAACCAAAATCTTTGACTTTGCCTGCCAGGTAGTTTTCAGCTGTGATTGATCTTGCCTGGAGTTACTGATGGGCTATTTCAGCCAGTGGGAGTTAATTTAATGACTGTGGTGGAGAGAACCCCAGATTGAGAATGTAGACCCAGATCCTAGGTTAAGCTTGGCCAATAACCTGCTGTGTGTGTGTGTGACCTCGGGCTTTTGAGCCACCTTCTACAAAAGATGACAGTGGCTGAACTTGATTTTAACTTTCAAAATTCAGTTTAGAAAATTATCTTTTTAATGATGCTTATTGGAGGAAATTGAAAATTATAGATCATCATTTCCCTGTAAATGATGGTTTTAAATATTTCAGTATATTTCCTTTGTCTTGTTATGTGTCTATAGTCCACTTAGTTTCAAAAGGGATTTGAGGTGACTTTAGTGTATATATACTGTATGTATTTTTTTCATAATTGAGGACATATACTGCTTAAACTTTTTCATTTTATCTTTATAGCAGACACATTTAATGTGATCATTTTTCTGATACTGGAATGATATTTCCAGTTTTTTCCCATTCTTGATCTTAAAGGTACCCTTCCAACCCCAGAGTTTGGTAATCAGGTAAAATTGTCTCAGGAGCAGAATTAATTTGGATTTAGAGGCATGGAAAGAACAAACTGCCAAGAAGTCAAGCTGAGCGTCCATCAACTCCTAGTTTGCAGCTTGGGATAGGGAAGCTTTAGTGGAGGTTATACATAAAAAGCCTGGTTTCTGAATCTGGACTTGACTCTCTACTAAACTGCCATTTGACTCTGGCTAGGACACTGAAATTGTTTGGACCTTGGAGCCTTCCTTTGAAAAAAATGCATGGACCCTCAGGGAATTGGGCAGTTCCTTTAATAAATTGTAAAGCACTTTATGTTTCAAGTTAATGATACTTTACTCCTATTTATAGAGTACCCACAATATGCCAGGTCCCTTGCTCTATCTTGTTTAATTGCCAATTACTCTATGAGGTAGCTGCTGTTTTCTTTTTACAGCTGAAGAAAGTGAGGACTGGAGACGTACGTGGCAGATCTTAGAACAGATCCAGTGTAGTGTCTTTTGTGTCAAACCACACCTCCTATTATGGTTTAGTTTCTTTTCAGTGTCTCCAGATACTCATTGAATCTAGTTATATAATTCAACCAGAATAACTTCTTGGATTAACGAATTTTGCATTTTTGTTTGACATTCTTAAAGCATCAGATTGGTACCTGATTTCCAGAAGTTGTGATAGGCATATTAGTAATGATAATAATAAACAATAGGTGTCATTTATAGAGCACTTACTATGTGCTAAGTATTTATATACATGAACTAATTTTATTTATTTATTTATTTATTTATTTTTAGAGACAGTGTCTTACTGTGTCACCAATGGCATACAATGGATACAATGGCATGATCATAGCTTACTACAGCCTCTAACTCCTGGGCTCAAGCAATCCTCCTGCTTCAGCCCCCGAGTAGCTAGGATTACAGGTGTTCACCACCATGCCCAACTAATTAAAAAAAAATTTTTTTTTAGAGATGAGTTCTTGCTATGTTGTCTAGACTTATCTCGAACTCCTATCCTCAAGCCATCCTCATTCCTTGGCCTCCCAAAGCACTAGGGTTAAAGGCATGAGCCACTGCATCAGGCCTATAATTACTGATTAATTTTTACAGATAGAGCATGGTATTCCCATGTAACAGATGAGGAGGTTCAGAAACATAAGGAGCTTGTGGTTGGCACACAGAACTTTGATGTGTGAATGAATGAATGGGTGACCTTGCTTAAGGTCACTCAGCTACCAGTTGTTGGAGCTATAACTCCATTCTAAAGCCAGAACTTAGTCCAAAGCCTGAGTTCTTAACTGCTGCGATTTATGCCTCCCAGGTAGCTTAGCATGGGTGTCTGTCCATCCCGGCCGTGGCCTGATGACTGTCATGCGTAGTCCAAGCAGTTTTAACGGTCTCTGTTGTTCAAATACTAGCTCATCTCTTATCCTGTGTGTTCTCTCCTAGTGGCCTTGTTCCCAGTATACCAGATGACCTGGATGGTGTCACCCCCATTGCTGGCTTGGGAAGTGGTGGTAAGTACACAAAGCCGGGCATTCTCATGAGTGAAAATAAGGGAAGTGGACACTAGAGTGTGATGCCTTGAGGCTTGGAACTTGGCTTTCATGTCTCCAGGGCGCAGAGCCTATGTGCTCTGTGTCTTACGTGTGTGTTGCTTTGCTTTCCACTCCTTTCATAAAACCTGGATTAAAGGAATTGATGTCCTCAGGCTATACTTCATGAGTTTTATTTCTTACTACCCAGGCCTTAAGGATTGAGCCAGCATTTGCTGAACTGAACAACTGCATGGAGGCTGGACATTGCATTGCTGACCAGGCCAGGCCCAGGGGTTCTGTTGGTCTCCGCTGCTGAGTGGCTAGAGGCCCAGGAGAGCTACCATCTGGACTTTAGTGTGCCAAGGCCTTCTAGCAGGCTGCTGGATCCCATTTGCCAGCTGAGGCACAGCATTCCTACACGGGCCTGCCCTTTGGAGACAAATAGCTGGTTAGACCACAGGAGACAGCACTGAGTAAATAAGCACTGTGTTATGTGTAAGCAGGATCATGAGGAGACTTGCAGTTTGGGTCTTGCTAAGCATTCTTCAAAATTTATTTCTGAGGAAAGTGAATTCATTTCTGAGGAAAGTGGTTCTGTGGGTAGTGCTAATAATTTGTCTTGTTGAAAAATCTTAGAGATATTTTGGTAGAGACTTTTTTTCCCTCTTCTTTAAAGTGATGATATGTATGCAAAAGAAAGACTTTTTGGAGCACATGGGATAAGTGTCCTAAGGTTTATTTCTGGAGAATACCTTAACTTACAGGCCACCCTCAGATTTTCCTTAGGAATCTGTTAACCTTTACTTTAAACATAAAATCCAACAAGCTGATTTCTACTCTTCCTACCCACAGGTGGTTAGAAGCAGAAAATTGATAGGCCTCCTTCTTAATTCAGCTGGTAGCATAAATCTTCGTGCCAGGCTTTGGGCTAAGTGCTGGGATTCAGCCTTGAATGAGGTTACTATCAAACTGAGAAAACAGACAATTAAACAAAAAATTATTATGATAAATTATGTGATCAGTGTCAGGAATGAAGAAATAAAAGGTGCTGTGTGAGGAGATTAGAGGGAGATTTACCCTGCTGTGGAGAAGGTAGGTCAGGCAAATTTCCCAAGAAACGGACTTTAGACAGACTTGAAATGGATGGGACTAGGTAAGGAAAAAGGAGAGGATGAGCATCCCAGACACAGGTGACAGCATGGTTCATCTGAGGAACAGGAAAACTAACCTGTGCGCCCTTTGGTGCACAGGGCTTTTCACAGTCTGCCCTGCCTATTCCTGAGCCTCTTTTCTGTTGAGTGCTTTCTGAACACCATGCCCACTCCCACCTCTGTGCCTTTGCCTGGGCTGTTTCTCCTTCCTTTTGTCCCTCTCATCAGTCTGGTGGCTGCCTGCTGCCTCTTCAGATTCAGCTCAAAGTTCACCACCATTTTTGGCTCTACCCCGGCTAAGGTGTGTTTTCCTCTTGGAACATTATGTATTTTACTTCATGTCGTCTCATTTATTCTTGTTGGCAACTTTTAAATTATCCAGAGTCAGACCAGTTCCTACCATCCTGGTCCAAACCACTGTGATCTTGGACCTGCATTGTCCCAGTGTTCTCCTGACTGGTTTCCTTGTTTCTTACCTAAACCTTTACGGCCTGTTCTCAGCAAGGCAGCCAGAGGGAGCCTGTAGAAATCTAAGTCGGATCATATTCCTCCTTAGCTCAGAATCTTTCAGGGGCTCCTCAGAACCTACAAAACCATGTACAATCTGTTCCCCAAAAACTTTCTTACCTCCTCTCCTACTGTCCCTTTTTGTGTGGTTCTCCAGCCCATTGGCCTCTTGACTACTCCGCAGACCCACTAGGCATGCTCCCACCCCAGGCTCCCACTTCTCTCTGAATCTGGAGTGTCCTTTCTGTAGGTAACTCGTTCCTTCTCAAGTCTGCCCAGATGTCTCCTTCTCCATGAGACCTTCCTTAGTCTCCTTACTTAAAATTGCAATCCTTACCCACCCCTGGTATTTCCTATTCTTATTCACTTTATTTTTCTCCATAGCATTGATCACATATTATGCAATTGTCTTATTTTGTTTATTGTCTGTTTCCTCCTTCTAGAATATCAGCTTCACTTGTTTGGTTTCCTAATGTTTCCGTATCCAGAAAGGGGCCTAGCAGAAAGTAGGCTCTTAGTGCATATTTGTTGGAAGCGTGAATTTATTCATTACCCAGCACACATTTACTTAACACCTACAAAATTCCAAGGACTTTGCACAGCATGATATAACAGTTAGTTTACATCTCTGTCTTGCCCACTGGATTGGGAACTTCTTGGGTGCAGTATCTCATTCCCCATTGTTTCCTCAGCACCCAGGATGGTGCTTGGCACAGAGTAGGTTTGTAATAAAGTTTTTTGAGTTGAAGAAGCTGTGGAGAGATTTGGATATTGGCAAAATCTTTACTCATTCTAAAGCAAAGTTGGCGATTTCCGGCCCACTGTCAGCTTTTGAAAATAAGCTTTTATTGGGACACAGCACCTTTATTTGTTTATGAATTGTCTGTGGCTGTTTTTGTGCTACAACAGATAATTTGAATAGTTGTGACAGATTTGTTTAGGCTTTGTGTATGGCCTGCAAAGCCTAAAATATTTATTGTCTGGTGTTTTAAGAAAAAGTTTGCCAATCTCTGCTGTCAAAGTTAGACGTGCTTTGTTTTAATTGCTGACATGTGAAGATGATATTATTTTCAGCAAAATAATTTTATGAAATAAAGAAGTACATATCAGAACAGTCTGTTTTGCCAAATGCCTGATGCATTTTCTGAGTTTGTCCTCTGATACACACTTTGTTACATTGGGGTTAATTTAAGTAATTTGTAAATATTTGAAATATATGGTTTAGAGCTTCAGTAAATTACAAAAGACAGCAAGTACCAGCAGGGTATACTATGGAAGCAGTTCATGTTTTTTCTTCTCTGGACTGTATTCCCTAATAGTAACATTGTGTAATTTGCATGCTATGACATTCTCCTATGTCTATTTTACCTTTTAATAGTGCTTCCAAGTGTGTCAGAAGAAACAGTGTCTCCCACCAGAGCGCGGAACATGAAGGACTTTGAAAATGTAAGTGGAGATACCAAATTATTTTCCCTAACAAATGTGCTGCTGTCCAGCCAGACCTAGGAGAGAGCTGTGTTTCTTGATAACTGTCTAAGTTGAGTAATGCCAGAGGTATGAGGATGCCGTGTCTTGTGGGCATTTTTTGTGAGACTGTTACATACTCATGCAGTCAGCCCTTTTATACAAGGGCCAGTTATGGGTTCTAATGGGATCAATAATTTTCAACCTTGTAGAGTTTGGTGTATTTCTGGTGTCTTAAAGGTGAGGTTGTTACTATATTGCACAGCTGAGGGGTGCTAACATTTGTCAAGGGCCTTAATATTAATGTAAGTCATGTTATTTATGGTCCCCATTTAATCCTTTCCACAACTCTTAAGGCATTTTGTATTAATTCCCGTTTTACAGATAAGGAATTTTAAGACTAGGACAGCCAGTCGCAGTCGCTTACGCCTGTAATCCTAGCACTTTGGGAGGCAGAGGCGAGAGGATTGCCTGAGCCCAGGGTTTTGAAACCAGTCTGGGCAACTCGGCGAGGCTTCGTCTCTACAATAAATACAAAAATTAGCTGGGTGTGGTGGCACACACCTGTAGTTCCAGCTACTTGGAAGGCTGAGGTGGAAGAATCGCCTGAGCCCAGCAGGTCGAGGTTGTGGTGACTGTGAGGATGCTACTGCATTCCAGCCTGGGCGACAAGAGTGAGACTTTAACTCAAAACACACACACACACACACACACACACACACACACACACACACACACACACACACGAACAGACTTGTTTATGGTTCATATAGTAATATAAGTGTCAGAGCTGGATTTTAAATCCAGGTTTTTAAGACTTCCAAAGCCATTATTCTTTCCACTGTGTTGTGCCTACCTTTGAATTTTGCAGACTTTATCTTTGTTGCTGTTGAATGAAATGTGAGTAGCCTGTACCCAGTACTTTGTAGTAATAGTCTGAGAATGGATTGCTTGGTGATAGATTTGGCTTTGATACTTAATGTCTTCCAGCATTGTGTCTTTCATTTGTTAGTGAAGGGGGTTTGTTGTCAAGTAACAGGAAAATAAGATTATTTTCCCAATTCCAATTCTCTTTAACAAGTTACCTGTTCAGTGCTCTCATTTATCATGGGACGAATTAGACTCTTCTTCATTTGTAAGCAAATGAAATCCATACTATGCAATACACCAGAGATATTTATCAGAGAAGATGGAGGACACAGAGAGAAGGACGTTCCACAATTATGCTTCTCTCTCCCCAGTTGTCTTTGCAGAATGGAGTGGTGCTGTCTCTGGATTTAATTTAGAATACTCATTACTGCTAATAGTTATGTGCAAACCACCAGTGACCAATTGAAGAAATGACTTGTCAGATCTCTAATGGAAACAAGTAATTTCTGAGCTTTGAGTTGTTATAATTTTAGCTGTACAACTCGATCTATGCTGTGGGGTCTGGGGCCTCAAACGAATGAGACTTGATTATTCCACATTGTGTATAATTAAAATATGCTCCACTATTAAATGGTTGTTCCTGTTTTATCATAAGAGTAATAATAGCTACTGTTTATTGAGCCCTTGCTCTGAGCTGGGCACTTTAAGTACTAAGCTGTTTGTATACACTACTTTATTAAAGTGGCTCTGCAAGATATTTCTTTTTTGAAGAGCACAGTTTTAAATTTTATTTCTAGATGGGAAAATATCACAGAATATTAGAGTGTTGGTTTCACATCTTTGGTCTGCCTGTTGAACTGGAAGGATCCTTAGAATTGAATCCAACCCTCTTTATTATATGTAGGAGAAACTGAGGCCTAGGAATGTGATGTGGCAAAGCTGTTCTCAGAGGTAGTCTGTATTTCTTAAGCACCATGGCTTCTGGGGCCAGACTGCCTATTTGTCTAATTTTGCTGAGTGCCCTTGGGCCACTCACTTAACCTCTCTGCACTTTTCTCATTTTTAAAATGGGCATGCTAGTACATATATCATAGGGCTGTTAGGAGAACTGAATGAATGAATGTATGTGAAGCATATATACCCAGCACAGAGTACATTCTGTGTGTTCCATGTATTTCTCCTTTGTACTGTTATTGTTCTAATTGTTGTTATTTTTTTCTACTCTGCCATGTGATTCAAGTTTTTCTTGCTCAGACATGTTCTTGATGACCTAAATCCTGTTATTCTTGAAGATGAGGAAGAACCTTCTATGCCAACATGTTTTAGGATTTATGTATTTTTCTTTATGACTATGGTCCTTTGGCTGCTGTTAGGTTTTTATGGCATTAATATTTTTTATTGTAGCATTTTCAAGAGCAAATTCTGCAGCTGAAATTGAAATGGCCACACTGTTCTCAGTGTCTCCCTTTCAGGTCTTTATAAGTCACTCGAATTTTTCATTTGGCCTGAGCTGCTAAATGATCTCTCTGTAGTGGGAATCTGAACTTTCCTTGGGATGCTTGTAGGAAATGCTCTTGGCATCTAAAGCTAATTTTAGAGTCAGCATGCATATTAAGGAAGGAGTTGGGATACTTTTGACTTAAAGGGGAAACTCATGATTCCCCTTACTCTAGTCTTAGTTGATTGATACCTGACCATCAGGAGTTGCATTTAGCAGGAGTCTAGCAAGAAATAGGCCACCTTCTAGTTTTGCTTAGAGCTCATTCATTCAATAAACATTTTTAAATACATGTCACTGTACCAGACTCTTTGCCAGGGGCTAAGAAATATGCAATGGATTAAGACCAGGTAAGTCTCCCTGTCAGGAGGCTCACAGTCTCATTGGGAAGATAAATAGGAAAATATAATGCAGGAATAGAGGGGAGTACAGGGTGTGTGGGCCATAGAGGAGGGGCTCTGAACCAACTGAGGGGTTCAGGGAAGCCTTTCTGGATGTGTAGCCTGAGTTGGATCATCAGGGACAAGTGGAGACTGGCCAAGTGGAAAGGGCTGGGAAAGTATCCCAGGCACAAGAACTCTCATGTGCAGAGGTAGAGAGAGGCATGACAGGGCATGATGAGTTCAGGGAACTGTTAAGTTCTTTTTGGCTGGAAGAAGGCTGTGTGAGGGGCACTGAGAGAAATGAGACCATTGAAGCAGGCAGGTGTCAGCTTTTGCAGGTCCTTGAAGGTTACACTGTTTTGTTTAATTTTTGTCCTGAAGATGAAAGGGAACCTTCATCTGGGGAGGGAAATCTGGGGAGGGAAATGACCAGAATTATGCTTTCAAAAGTTTGCCCAGGCTGGTGACTATGAGGAGAAGAGTTTGGAGGGGAGCAAGGCTGGTGGTGAGGTGGTAAGTTACAGGGCTGCTGTGGTGTGTGGGTCTGAAGGGAGCAATGTGGAGCTGAGGGCGTGGAGTTGAGAGATGTTTAGAATGGAGTCGGGAATCTCAGAGCAGGAGGAGCTCCAGGAGCTATGTCATCCAGTCCCTTCCTTTGACACTTGGGGACTCTGAAGCCCAGAGCGGGTAGGGACTTACTCAGGCTTTGAACCCAGGTTTCTGGCACAAGAAGTCCTTTCTACTTCATTTGCCTGTTCTGTGTAAGTACTCACTCTGACATGTGAAAACAACATATCTTCTTTTGGTTCTTTAAACTGGTGATACATTGTCTAATATCGTTTTTAGCTGAGGTTGTAATCATCTGTATGGCAGACCTTATGGTAGGAAGTAGGTAAATCAGTTTGGCCTTCAGTGGGAGCCTATCTTATTGGTCCTTTCTAGATGGTAATGCAGTAGGAGCTGGAGGAGGCCTAATTGAAGCGGTGTCATCTGAAGGCCTGTACTTACCTCCTATGACTTGTTCTGGGCACTAGAATCTCTCTCTTGCTCTTAAAAAAATTTTTTTTGGGTGAATTGGGGGGGGACCCAGAATCTGGTACAGCATATTCAATCTAGGTATCTTTATATATATACATATATATATATGGAGTGCAGTGATATGATTAGGGGTGTCTGCAGCCTTGACCCCCTGGGCACAGGTGAACCTCCTGCCTCAGCCTCCTGAGCAGTAGAGACTACAGGCACGTACCACCATGCCCGGTTAAGTTTTTGGTTTTTTTTTTTTAGAGTTGAGGTCTCGCTATGTTGTCCTGGATGGTCTCAAACTCCTGGGCTCAAGCAGTCCTCTTGCCTCAGCCTCTTTAAGTGCTAGGATTACAGGCCTGAATCACCATTACAACAAATTTTTAAAAATTAGCCAGATATAGTGGTACACGCTTGTACTTCCAGCTACTTGGAAGGCTGAGGTGGAAGGATCACCTGAGCCCAGCAAGTTGAGGCTGCAGTGGCTGTGAGTGTGTCTGGGCGACAGAATGAGACTCCAACTCAAAATATATATATATAGTTTATGTGCAACAAACAATAGATATTATGGAATAGGATTTATTTCTAGTGGCTTCCTTTCTAAGGAAGTGGGAAAATTCTTAGTCAGACATGGATGAAACAGTTGTCTGTATCCTGCCCATACCCAAGTCTCTTTTTGTCTTTATCCTTTGCTGTTCTTGTCTTATACCTGCCTGCCCCGAGATGCTGGCATTCTTGTACTGAGCCCCTTATTCCTATATGGTCAACTTTGACCAAATAGTCAGTTGATCAGATTTGAGTGTTTTATCCAGAGTTTGGCTAGGATGATTGCATCTTTAAATTTATTGTGTAATATCTATGTTGTTAGTTACTTATTGCTAGAGGATAGCTCCCTCACCCTTTGTCATTTCCTACTTACTCTGCCCTGGAACTTTCAGAAGCACCGTGGTGTGTGGATACAACATGGACTTGAGAATGACGAGAGCTAGGTTTTAGGTCTGGCTCTGCCACTGACTGACTTGTGGCTTTCAGAGTCTCATGCATACAGTAGATCTCGTCCTGTCTCTCAGTTGGAGAGGTCATGAGCTGTGGCATGGGGAGCAGCTAGCATGATGCCTGGCACATAGAGGGTGGAATGCTAGGGTTTGCTCTCGTCTGAAGACTGTGTATGCTACAGCCACTGTCCTTAGGTTCTGCCCCAACACTAT